ACATCAAAGTGATAGAAATGAGAGCAATTCTGTAAATTTTAAAGGATTCAAATAATTTAAAGCATATTGCCTTTGAATGAAATGCAATTTAGAGTTAAAACAGAAAGCTACATTGAAAGTCTCCAAATGTTTAGACACAATTGAAGAGAATCTATAAAGAAAAGGAAATATGTGTAGTTGTATGATAAACATTTCAAAGGAAATTTGTAATACTAGATGCGCATATCAGAAAAAAAGAAAAGTCTAAGATCATGACCTGCACTTCTCTCTTGAGACAAGAAAAAGAGCAAATTAAGCCTACTGCAAACAGAAGAAAAGAAGTAATAAAGACTTCAACAACAGTCCCTGAGATAGATAACTAAAAATAATAGAGAAAATTGATAAAAGAAAAAAAATTCTTTAAAATTGATACATTTCTAACCTGGCAGCCAAAAAGTGGGAAGAGAAATTATCATGAAAGTGGTAATACCACAACAGGCTCCATAAGTATTAAGTGGGTAACGTGAATATTATGTATAACTCTAGGCAAGTAAAGTCAACAGTTTAGCTGAAATGGACAAATTTCTTGAAAGATGCAGATAACCAAGAAGAAATTGATATGACCAGAAGTCATAAATGGCTCTCTGTCTGTTAAATGAATTATATTTGTAGTTAAAATCTTTCTCATGATGAAGACTCCTTTCCCACAGGGCTTCAGTTAGTTCTGCCAAACACTTTAGGAATAGTATCAATTGTATGCACATTTTTCCAGAATATTGAAGATGAAAGAATGTTTCCCTGTTTGTTCTTTGAAGCTAATAGTAACCTGATACCAAAAGCAAACATAGATATAAGAAAACTATAGACCAATTTCCCTAATAAACATCTATGCAATAATTTTATATGCAAAAATTATTCATATAATTTTTAAAAATTCAAGAAAAAATACAGGGAAATAGTGTATTATTATGAACTAGAATTTATTCTAGGAATGTAACACTGATTTAAAATAAATTGTATTTAAAAATAAATTGCCATAATTCACCATAGTAACAGACAAAGAAAGAAATTAGATGTAGAGGGAAAAAAGTCAAGAAAGTCCAGTATCCATTTATACTTTTAAACAAAATACTTTCCAGTAAATTAGGAGGAGGAAAATTAGTCAACTTGATAAAATGTATCTAGAAAAACTTTCTAATATCTTAATGGAGAAAGAAAAGCACTTTCACAAGGCAGAGATAGTCACTTTGTTGTTTAACAATATAGTAGAAGATTGAGCACTATAGTAAAACAATAAAAAATGTTTACAGATTATAAAAAATAAGATCTCATTTCCATAAAATACGAATATGTAGAAAATCTAATGGGAACTATCTAAAGTTTAATCAGTTTGTTGCTTGATACAAGATAAATATACAAAAGATTGAATACAAAAACTATTTCAATGAGCTATAATAGAATAAAAATGCCATTTTAAATAGTAAAAAATGTATATATAAAATACCTATACGTCTGCCAGCAAATGTGAAAGACCTTTATAGTGAAAAATAATGTTGCTGAGAGTAATTACTGATGCTGTGAATAAATGGAGAGAGATATGCATGGATTAGAATGGATACTTCTAAGATGTTTATTTCTAAATTGATATATAAATTCAGCACAGTGCTAATCACAGTCCTAACAGACTGTTTTGTAGAAATTGACAGGTTGATTATAAAATTCATAGGGAAACACAAAAGTCCTAGAACAGATAAAACAACTTAAAAAATAATAAAGTTGGAAGACCTACACTGCCTTTGGGACTTGCTGTATTAAGCCATAGCACAAGCCTGTATTGTCAGTTGACTTTCACTACAAGCACAGTGACATTTCAGTTCACCACACAGTGCTAAAGTCAACATCCAAAAGGGAAAAACAATCCCCACCATATATTAACTGCAAGACCACAGCCCTAAAATTTAAAGCCTTTGACAGGAAAACACTGTGGTATTGGGTTATAAAAAAAAATTTAGAGCAAAAGCAGATCCAAAAGAAGAGAAACTGATAAATCAGATTTCATCTAAATGAAGAACTTGTTTTCTTCAAAAGTGCTATAAAGAGAATGAAAAGTTTTAAACTGGAAGAATATGTACAAGTTACAAACCTGACATAGGACGTGCATGTATATATAAGTAAAAACATTTTTGTAAACATAATGACATAAAACAATGGTCAAGAGTTGAACAGACATTTCACCAAAGAAGAAATAAACTCATGAAAACACTTAGCATCATTATTCACAAAGGAAATGTGACTTTAGACCTGCGGTGAGGTACCACCGTGGTGGGAGGTTTAACATCGAAGACTAGGCCACGCAAGCATTGGGGAGGACAGAAAGCAGGCAGGGCAGCTGTCACGCGTGGTTAGCCTGCGGGAAAGGGAGCCACTTTTGGAGCTAGTTGAGTGTCTTCTTGAAAAGGCGTACATATACCTTCCATAAGAGCCAGCCATTCTACTCTTTGCTGTTGATCCAAAACAAATTCATACAACGGTTGTCCATGAAGATTTATAGAAGCTTTGTTTGTAACAGCCAGAAATGAACCAGCTCCGATCAGATGGCCGTGCATGGTAAGTTGTATTACTTAACAGCGCAGCCCAGTAACATGGAAGAGCTCCTGATGCGTGCAGTGATACGGATGAATATCAGAAGTAATCATGCAGAATGAAAGAAACTAAAGAGTACATATATGGGATCCCACTACGTAAATTTCTAGAAATTAAAATTCTAGAGTCCTAGAATTCTGCAAATAAATCTGTATGACAGAAAACATTTGTCATTGTCTGAAGAATATGGGAAATGGGAAAGAGGATGGAAATGTGTGAGTAGTACTGGGCATGTGGCACAGTGAAGAGCACTTGCCTGCACTTACAAGGTCCGGGGTTCAGTCCCTGGCAGTTGAAGAAGGGGAAAAAGACACAAGGGCACAAAAAGACCTGTTTCATAATTCCGTATTGGGAGTGAGATATAAAAACGGGAGAAATTTGTTGAAAAATAAAGGGGCTAGAAAGTGACATGGAGGGTAACCGTTCAAAATCCAGAGTCAGGAAAGTCCTTGGTACTGACCTAGCATTTGAACAGAGACTTTAAACTCCCCTGTAATATTTTGAAAACCGTCTTAAAATGTGCTTCAGCATTTAAAGTTGTAGTTGACCATTATCTTTCTTACCTGAAAGGACAGTGGCTTTCCCCTAACTTGAAAACAAAGTTAGATTTATTATTTTAGAAGGGAACAGATGGTAAAGTGTGGGACACGGGAACAAAACCTGATCTCACTGCCCGGCAGAGGCCAAGTCCGGCTGAGAGGATGCAATGGGCCACCCTGACTAGAAGGGCGAAGGGCTTGCGGGGACACAGCTGCAGAATGGTGAGTCAGAGGACTTGTCATTCTTACAGCTGGAGTCCTAGTGTCCCAGTTCCAAGCCCGTAGGGGCAGTTGTGTCCATTTTCTAAACATGGAACTCCTTGAGCTGTGTATCCCTTCCGGTGTTCTCTGTGTGCGCGTGCGTGTGATCTGGTGAAAAGAACACATCTATTCTGAGCGGAAAGGCATTGGCCATGTCCTTTCACCCTGACAGAGCAGCCACAGGAAACCACAGCAGGCTTCCACTCTTCTAGCGGGAAAATGAGCTGGAGTGTTGATCAGCGGCCATGTTACCAGCTGGAAACAGGCTGAATTTGGTTCCATCCCCAAAAGAGGGCCGGCTCATGACAGAGACCAGAGTAACTATGCCCTGGGGAAGCAGGAAAAATGGCAAAAAAAGAGAAAAAAAGGCAGGGGAATTCAGAGTGTTTCATAATATGTGCCGTAAACTGAAGTGTGGCTCTTTATTTTGAAAATGTGCTTTTAACTGCTCACTCCCCAACTTTTTAAACTGTAATCTGTCCAGAGAATAATTTAGAGGTGTTTTGCCTTATGAAACATAAATTTGCCAACAGTGCATGAGGAGATCCATTAATCTGAGGCCAGTTGTGTATTTCTGTTTCTGTAAAATTTTTGGAAAGTGTGCTGATTTCTGTCCATGTGCTATTTTCCTGTTGCTGTGACAGTTGTATTCTGTTCCGAATGATGCTCGTCAGAGCAGGCCTTCTGACTCCTGGTCTCAGCCTGGGCATCCTGTGCTCAAGCAAACATGCCGGCATTCAGTCCCCTGAGGCCCAGGCCCTCTCCGCGCCTAGCTCCCTACCCCTCGCACCCTGTCATCCCAGAGAAGTTGCTCTGAATCTCTTTTTGGTCACAGGCATCTTTGAGGATCCAGGAAAAGTTGGAAAAACTTTGCATGTGACTTCAGAGGCTCCTCTGAGGCCCTGCTCCTGGGCAAGGCAGGCAAGAGCACCTGTCTCAGTTATGCAGAGCTCTTCCAAGGGCAGAACTAGCCTTCTGCCTGTGACCTAGGGAATAATTGTTACATTGTACTTGTAATCCAGGTGTTAGCGCTCACACCTATCATCCCAGCTACTTGGGAGGCTGTGGCAGGAAGATGAGACCCTGGCTATGAAAATGAAGAGGGGCTAAGGATGTAGTTCATTGGCAGAGGGCCTTGGGTTCAGTTTTCAGCCACAGGGAGGGGAAGACCTTTGTATTTGTAATGTTAGCCTTCTTCAGCTAAGCACCAGGAAGGGAGGAGAGGAAATCCAGCAGGGTGACCCTTTTGCTCCACTCGGGAGAGCCATGTTTTGTCACAATCATTGCCTTCCGTGTGATGCTGCATGTGTTTTGTTGCCAGACAGAAGTTTCCAGCATTCTCCTACCCTACCACACGGCTCTTCATTGTTCTTTTTCACATCGATCTCTCAGATTTCACACAGAGAAACCAAGACTTCACTGTTGTGTCTTTAGACTGTTGACTGAGAAGCCGAATACCATGTCTGCTTTACACAGTGACTCAGCCTTTATTTGGTGTTTTTCTTCCTCGGTTTTAACCTAGAAATGAATTTCCCTAAATCGGAATCCGTTAACAGCTCTTTTCCTTTCTTCGTACAGCTTGTACCTCCTTTTAAGCCTCAGGTAACATCTGAGACCGACACCAGATATTTTGATGAAGAATTCACAGCTCAGACTATTACAATAACACCGCCTGAAAAATGTAAGTAGACGGTGACTGATAACATTCTAAAGTAATTGAAGAAAACAGTCTGTGTAAAAATGTCTCTGTCTTTTCAAGGTCAGAGTCCAGTGACTTTTATTCTGTCCAATCTAAGATTGCAGAGCTCCCAGTGTGAATATATCAAAAGGCAGGCACGAGAAAAGCTTTTCTGGGCAGAAAGAAATGACGTGGAAAACAGTTGTAGACCAAGTTCCAGCCGTTAGTCCTTCTCCACCCTGCTTCAGAAGCTCTTCTGACATTAGCTAGAAAGATTCTGAAATGCAGCCCCTTTCCTGGCCCTGGCTTCGTTCCGTGTCACCTTCAGAACCGCGCTGGTTCTGGGCTTCCCCGTACTGAATATTTTAAAAATCCATTTTAAATAGAGTCGCCCCTTTTGAATTAGCATTCTCTTAAGCACCCTCCGAAGACATAATTTCATTTGCTCTTTATAATGATGCATTTAGATTAAAGCTCTGTTAAGGTACGTGTCCATGCACACTTCAGATTATACTCTCGGCCCCGTGTTGTGAGAAATACATGCATCAGAGGTCTTTAATGAAAGAAGAAGTTATCAGATGTAACTTACGGACATTCTGTGCTGACAAGGTGTGTGTCTGCCGTTGATTTAGGAATGAGGATAGGATGGAGTTCAGGGTGATACCAAGAGATAGCTGAAAGGATTCTTTAGGGCACACATCTGCGGCTTACGTGGTAACGTCGTGTTTGTGCTTCTCTCCTTTTCCTTTGTTTCTCCACTTCTCTGCTCATGGGTTGGTGGTGCTGACACACAGTGGCCATGTGACTGACACTAGTGAAATATGTGGTCCCAGTCAGCAGTTGGATGTTTCAAGATAGACAGGCGTCTTCTGGACTCAGCCTGGGTCCATGGCTTCGCCTCAAGGAGACTGTGAGCAGCCCTGCGCCTGGTGCTTCTGGGCAGTTCTCTTTCTTTCCTTTTTTAGATTTGCGAAAAGTTGTTAACATTTTCATTTTGAAGGCACAGAAGTTGAAACCCAGAGAGAAATTGAATTGCCAAGGTCCCATAGTTAGTGGCAGCCGCAGCTCGGAGCCGGCAGACCAGCTTGGCAGTGCCCAGGCTAAGTTGTGAAATGTCAGTGTGTGGAAGGGGTAGTGTGCCATCGCTGAGAGCCAGGCTGTTGGGAAGCCTGTGGGTCCTAGGCACAGGGCTGAGAGCCATCTCAGTGGAGTACTGGATGTGGGCCCCAGGAGGGTGTTCCAGTGATTAGTGCGGCCACTGGGTAGCTCCCACTGTGGAGCAGTTGCTGGGCCTGGCCTTTGGATAGAACCCCAGTTGTGATCAGGCCGTCACTCCCCAGCTTCCACCCTTCCCTTGGCTCCCCTCACACCTGCGTCCAGATTCCCCTGGCCCACAGCCGTACACGGGCCTGTCTGCCTCTCTGGCCGCTTCCCGTTCTATCTCCTCCCACTGCCCCGCACACCAGCGACACCTTGAACCCACCACACCTCACTGTGCCTTGGGACTGTGGTGTTTCCTGTTCCCTCTGCCTCCAGTGCTCTTTGTCGAAGATACTTGCATGCACAGCTCCTTGTTCAGCTCTCACCTTGAGAGCCCCTTCCTCGGAGAACTGCCTTTGACGGCCAGCTGAGGAGCAGTGCTGCCCAGCCATGCCCCTCTGTGCTTATCCTTTACCTGCACGCCTTTCCCTGCTGATCGTTTTTCTGGTTCATTATTTTCTTGTTCTGCCACTAGGACTCAGTAACTCTGAGAAGAAGATCTAGTGTATCTGAACCCCTGCTGGCCCAGCTCCTGGCTCAGCGGAGGTTTTCGGTGAACACTTCCTAGAACACAGCCAGAAGTGGTAGGCTGGGAGGAAGCACCTGGGAGTCTCCTTAGGATAGCTACTGACTTTGGAAGCCATCAGAATAGATGGACTCGGTGAACAAAAGGTAGTGAGTGGATGGTTTTACTTCAGAAAGTTAAAAGTAAAATCCCAGTTTGGGGGCCGGGGATTTAGCTCATTGGTTCTGCCACCTGCCTCACAAGCACAGTTCAATCCCTGGTACCAAAAAAAAAAAAAAATCCCAGTTTGGGAGGCAGAGTACAGGTGGACTCGGGCCCCTTGTCCATCTCTTCCACTCATTAGCTCTGGGATGCGACAGGTTACTTCGTCCCTTAGAAGAGGGAAGAGTAGGGCTGGATAATTTCTAGGAGCTTCTGTTTGTCCTGCTGTGCTCCTGAGAAGCCATCTCTTTGAGAAGGACATCCAGAATTCTCCAAGCATGACCACTCCTAATTTCAGTGTCATCCCAAAACCAGAGTAACCAGTCCATGCTGTTGGTTTTTCTGTGATCTGTTACAGAAGGGTGACAGGCAGTCCAATGTGATGAATCCGTAGCCCAAAGGTATAGGTGGGGGTGGAGGGCTGTGGGAAGGGACTACCTAGAAATGTAGGCCAGAAAGACCACATCAAACCAGCTCATAAATTTACTTGGGCACAAGTAAATTAAAGTAGAAATTGTCAGAAGCACCTCCATAGCTGGTCAGTGGCTGTTTTATGAGTGATTTGAATTTAAAGTGCTGTCATGGACAGGGAGTATCTGAATCCTTCCTTCACTTGCATTCCCCTCATGATTGTCTGGTTAAGAATTTTCACTCATGTGCAGAGCTTCTGTAACAAGACTTGGTGTTTGAAGATGCCTTAAGTCCCCTCAGTACTGTTTCTAGCACACAGTTTGAACCTAGTCCTCAGCTTCATTATTAACAGTGTAAAAGTCATCCATCATGTCACACACAGCAGAATGTGTATTTCAGACACAGGTCATGTGAAAAGCTGGGGGCGGGGCCCACTGTAGAGAAGACTGGGTCCACAAGAGCCCAGGCATTGTGGTGACTCCCAGCGGGTGTCAGACCTTGCTGTGGCCCTGGCCTGTGGAACGCTGTCTTCCGCGGGTATCACAAATGGCACATGGCCCTGCAGAGCTCCTGGGCCCTGGACGGTTCGGGAGTGTGGCCCCGCAGGACCAACCACACTGAAACCTGGGTAGGGCAAGGAGAGCCAGCCCCACCCTGTGCCCCACCCTGTGCAGGCTGCTCTGCTCAGCTGCGGCTCAGCTCAGCAGGGCGCTTGTGGCACCAGAGGCCAGGGCTCCCTGGCGCCCATCTGTGCCTGGTCGGGGCAGTGGTTTTCAGTTTGACATTCCCTGGACAGAGCCTGGATTCCCTTAGGGGGCGCATAAAGGAAGTCAGGCCTCAGGCTGTGGTTATGGGAGCAAGGTCAGGTTTTCTGCAGCTCGGAGGAGCGGTGCTGTAAGAAATGGCCCTGACCACTCACAGGTCCGGGCTTTGTTCCTGGATGTCCACAACAGGCTGTTCACTGGCAGGGCAGTTATCTTCCCGCGTGCCACCTTGCTTTTATAAAACAGAATGCAGTTATTTTTTAGAACAAATCAGCAGTTAAGAAAAGCAAAATGTTCCATTTTCTACAAACAGCTGCAGAACATGCCAGATTGTCCTCACTGGTGTTAATTAATTGAACAGATTTTGGAATGTGTTGTCTTTCGTTATATCCATTAATGGTCCTCTGCCTTCTTAGAGAACATGAGCATTTCTTTGAGATCTGGGAGCTTTTACTGCCATGTAATTACATTTGTTCACTGCTCTAAGAAAACTGGGTACTTGATGCTGCTTGGATCCAGACTTGGACTTGGCTGAGGACAGGGTAGATCATTCTGTACCTCCGTCCCGACGTGCTGTTTCTAGTGTAGTGCGCGTCGTCGTGCTTGTCATACCTGTGAGGCCCCTTCGCAGAGGGGAGCTGCTCACAGCTGCGGGCCCAAGTCAGGAATCGGCCCCTCACCACTGCCAGCCCTGGGGAGACGGAGCCGCTCTGAGCATGAGATGGCAGTGGCTTGGAAGGACATCTGGGGATGGGTCCTCCAGTTTATCTGTGACGCTTAGATTTCTTCCTCGTGATAAATGGGTGGATCTGTTACTGAAGTGACGGCAGAGGCTGCCTTAATCCTCAGCTGGTGTGCCAGGCGGGGCTTCCTCCACAGGAAGGCCAGCGCTGCAGCTCGGAGAGCTGCCTCGGAGGCCCCGGAACCGGCTGAGGCGGGACAAGCACTGGGCTCCCCACATGTGTTGTCCGGGGCTCACTGTGTGTTTGCTGTGCAGAAACACTCAGCAAAACAAAGCTGTTCGTGGGGAAAACTGTTTCTTTGCGATGTGATTGGCACCTGTCAGAATCTGCGCACACAAGATTTCAGCTGCTTTTTCTCTAGAGAGGCTTTACACTGTGTAACTCCACAGCGATTGCCGTCGTCCCTGAGCGCCTATGGCTCTGTGTGCCTGGAAATTCTGCCGGAGGCATTGACCTCAGGGCTGCGTGTTAGCTGGACGTGGAGGCAGAGCCTTCCTCTGGCCTCAGCCTGTGCCGCTGCTGCCTGATGAGTGGATAAGTCCTCCTCCAGTGACATTGGAGGTCACAAACTCTGGTCAGTTGAAAATCTTCTACATTAGCCAGAAAAGATGACTAATAAGAAAAGAAAGGAAGGGACATGTTCCTTTGCTCTTCAGATGGTGCAGTGATCTTCTCTAAGGCGTGACAGGGTCATTGCACAGTGCGGCAGGTCTGGTCTCTTCTTGTGCTCTTCACATGAAATTGGTGCTCTCTGGAGAGGCTGGAAAATTAAAAGAGTAGCAGTGAACCCCTTTGTGGATCTGAGGAAACACTTCCTGTGCTTGAAGACAGAAGTTTTAGTATCTGACAGGCTCACTTGCTGTGGTTGCAGGACAGCATACAGTTGAAGGAGCTGGGGGTCAGGTGGGAAAGACAACACGAGCCACCAGCAGTACTTACGTGACCTTTGTGTTGGGCAGATTGTACCATGGGTGGTACAAACATCTAATCACATTTATCAGTCTTTTTACTAATGCAGTTAATGAAAAGCCACCTGATGGGCCAGTCATGTGTGTACTGCCGGTGGCTCAAGTGCCCAGCAGGGAGACATGTGAATTATGGCCCCTCATGAACATGTTAACGCAGAGCACTTCCCCCTGGATGGGGCAGGGAGCCAGGCAGCAGGAACTCTGATTCGAGCTCTGTCTGCCGGGCCTTTGTGGGGCTTCACCCAGAGCAGTGACAGGGAGGTGTCTTGTCTGAGGGGCGCTTCCTGACTTGCACGTCGTTGCAGAAGTGACAGGAAGAAGAGCAGTGTGATCATTTGTGATTTTTTTGTTTGTTTGGTTGGTTTTTTTGTGGTATAGTGGACCCTTGAGTTATGACCAGCCTGATATATGAACAACTTGGGTTATGACCAGAATTTTAGTTTTAATTTACAAGTCTTGAGTTAGGACCCAAATGCCAGCTGCTTGTGCTTCCAAATGGTTTTGGATACAGATTTAACCCTTGGAGAGTTCTGGAAGGAACCTGACAGCATCTTTTCCTATATGGGGTTGAGAAATCCTGGGCCAGAGTCTCTCTCAGGACACAGAGATCTGCCTGTGTACGGGAGAGAGACTGTGAAGGCTGTGGAGAGGAGCCTGAGCCTTCAGTTGACCACCTTGAGTTACAACCAGCTCTTAGGGATGAATTGAGCTCGTAAGCCAAGGGGCCACTGTACTGGAGATTGAGTCCATGGCCTGCGCACTGAGCTACTCTCCAGATCCCTTTATTTGGAGACAGTCTCCTTAAGCATTAAGTTGCCCAGGCTGAGCTCAGACTTGCACCCATCCTGCCTCATGAAATGAAAGTTATTAAAGATTGTTCCTTATTAAAAATTGTTTCTTCAGTAGTATTTTTAAAGTTTTATTGAATCTTAACATTTTGATGTCTTAGAGATGATTTTATAGTATTATTTCATCGTAGATTATGTTTATGAAAAGCAGATAACTTGTAAAATATAATTACTGCATGTTTTATTGATAAACATGTTTATGGGAGCTGAATTCCCTATTAATCCTCTGATGTTAAAAATTTAAAAATAGACACCACACATAATGTTGCAAAAAATAAAGATAAAATTAAAATAGCTGTTTCTCGCCCACAGACGATGAAGATGGTATGGACTGCATGGACAATGAGAGGCGGCCGCATTTCCCTCAGTTTTCCTATTCTGCAAGTGGACGAGAATAAGCCTCTCTCATTCTGCTCCTTCACTGTCACCTTAGATTTATCACTGAACATGATTCCTGGACAGCACCGCCAGTCCTCACTCTCACAGACAGCAGGGCACCTTCCGACCTCCCAGACCGGCCCAGGTCTCCGCCCCTCGGCACCTCTCACCCCATGAGAACACACGTACACAGACGCACTCCCGTTTTTGTTTTTGCATGAAATTGTATCTCAGTCTAAGGTCTCAGGCTGTTGCTGCTACCGTCTTACTATTATAGCAACTTAAGGAGTAAGTTTACTGTCTGGGGAAGTCTTCAGCCCACCGTTGTTCACTTGTGCACCAATTGGCATCTTAATCTTTGAGTTTTTTGTTTTTGCCTAACAGTGAAGGGTAAATGAGATACACTGGTTCTAGGTACATTTTTTTAACTTTTTAGAAGATAAATCAAAAACTAATTAGACTAAGAAGATTTAGTTTCTATATCCGAACAAGCAACTGTGGGAGGGTGGTGATGCGTTTATGCACAGGTTTCGTGAAGTGGAAAGTAAGTGTGTGTCGCTAAGATGTGGCTGGAATTTGTTAGGAAGCGTTGGAGAGGACCGAACAGCTGCTAAGATACACATACGTATTCTTAATTCCTGTTGGATACTGCAGAGGAAGCCCCGTATCACACGTGGACGTCCAGATGTCACGGGCAATCACGGGCAAGTGGACACTGTTCTACCGAGAAACAGTGTGTACACGGGATCAGTCACTCACAGGGTCTCAGGATACACTCTGCACCAGAGAGCATTTATTTCCCCTGTGCTTGGGAACCTTTTTCCCTTCTTGATATTTATCACCTCTGATGGCTGAAGAATGTAGACAGGTATAATGATCCTGCTTTCACCAAAATTGTACACCAAGGTAAACCAACAGGAGTTTGCCTTATTAGTTTTAATTTTTTTACTTTTTCAGTTCTAGGTGATTAGCTTTTTCTCAGATGTTAAAATTTTGAATGTCCTTTTATGATTTTGTTTATATTGCAGTAGTATTTATTTTTTAGCGATGAGAATCGTATGTCATGTTAGCAAATGCAGCTCCAACTTACATGGAACAGACTTGCTGCAGTTTCTTTTGGCCCATGTGCAAGGAATGTACACGCTGATGGGAATCATGCACTTTTTCTCCTGTGTACAAACAATTTGATAAGGCTTTGAATGGTACAGATGGATTAGAACTTGGCTTTGGGGGAAGAGATGCCATCATTTAACCCCTTGGTGCTGAAAATGAGAAAATCAGCTGTTCATTGCCAAGGGGTTAGTGAAACACATAGTTATTATGTTTGCTCACTTGAGAATTAAAATATTAGGGTGACCTGGCAACATAACGTAAGAAAATCGAGACCTGAATGATGTTAAGAAATGAACTTTACTTGGCAAAATGAACACATTGCAAGCATTTATGAAGTAGCTAGTAAAAGATAAAAGCCTGGTGTGTTTTTTCCGATCAAGGTACATTTATCGCTGAAATAAGCCATCAGGGAAAACAAAACAAAACAGAAAGAACACCTCTAGCTTTTCTTTTTCTGTACGTACTCATGTCTCCAGATCGCAGTCCTCCCTGAAAGGGGACATGTATGCAAACCTCACCTTTATCCTTCATTACTGATGATCTTCAGATTAAACCCTTTGGTGCTAGGAGCTGACATTTTCCAAAGCAGCCTGTGAAGTCCAAGGGGCAGGAGCCCTGGCTGTGGTGAGCAGGAGGGCGTGCGCTCCCTGGAATGATCGTGGAGATGTATTCTGGTTCAACTCTGACAGCTCCCAAACAGAAGACTGCATCGTGACATAGTATTAGATTGCTTTGTATGAGAGAGCAAGTGATTTCTAATAGGGTGAATCACATCCATATGCAGATGTCTTAGCCTCTTGACGCTGGAAGTGAGGATTTATAGCTCTGAAACCACTGCTGGTGGTGGGTGGGCCACTGGGACTGACCGGGGTTAAAGGGCATTTTATTAAGGCAGCTAAGACATACTCAGACATAGATTTTATCCTGATTTTTCATATTTCTACCTGAGTGACATTCATCCTTAGTGTTAAGTAGGAAGTTACAGTAAATGGTAGTTCATTCTTACATCTGTACATTAACTTTTTTTCACTTGGAATGATGTTGAAGGTTTCACAATAACGAGAAAGTAGACTAGAAGGTGTGTCCTTTAAGTTGTCTTGCATCCATTTTCTAAGAAAGAAACAGGTGAGAAGAGAGGTGAGACTGGCTGATGTTCAGAGCACTTGTTCCTCTGGAGGGGAAGCATGACACTGTACACTAAGCACATAGCTTTTTGTTTTGTTTTTTTCCCAAAAAAACAAAGTGATTTCCGTGACCTTGGCCAAGGATACTTGGTAAAGATTAATGACGGGCGTAGACAGTGCCCCAGGCTGGCCCCTCCTCACATCTGGCCCTCAAGTCCCCAGCCACACGCAGGGCCCTAGTCAGCCTCTCTGAGGATGTCGGTGTCAATGAAAGTGTGTTCTTGGCTTCGATTTCGAGAATCCCTCCCTTTACTCCCAGATCTGTCGTCTGGCATGAAGGCCTAAGACAGCATAGAAAGGCGTGCAGAGGGAAATTGTGACACTTCCCTGTGTCGCCCATAGCTGTAGTTCCAGATTCTGGCAGGTAGAACAGCCGGAAGCCTGGAATCATCCTATCCAAATACAGTTCCAACTTCGCAGACTCCAGCTAGTGCTGTTGGGAAGTTTGACCTCTTGTCACAAGACAGCCATCGTGGGGGAAATGTGCCCCTTCTGCTTGGGTTACTGGCAAGGGTTGCTCACAGCCTCGCTTTCTACACTAATTACACAGCATTATTCCAGTATGATTTCCATTTCCCACACCTGCTTTCTGGCTTCTCAAAGCAGACTGTTCTTGCGGGGCCACTCGCTTCTAGAGTACAAAAGTGAGGGCCTCCCTTACTCACTGCAGGGTCTGTTTACCATCCTCAGTGCACACACTTGCTGCTACCGTTTCTTCTGTCTGCAGTAGAGCTCCCTTACCTTGCTCCTGGTAGTGCATTACAGGCAAGCATGAAATGTAAAGTATTTATTTAAATAAAAAGAAAACCTCTAAATTGGTAATTGAATTACCTCCCTGTAGCTTTATAGTTTGTGACATTTCTTGACCTTGCTAGTTCTTTCATTAGATCTGCGAAAGATGTGGTCATCTGGTTAAGGATTTTAAGCAGACGCAACTATGAACCCAAGAAACTGTATTCGTATTATTGTTGGTCATACTAAATCTGTTTCTTTCCTTAAGTATATGACCCACAAGGATGTGAAATAACTACAGGAAACTGTTTTGTACACTGTCCATCCTTAGTATTTTTACACATATATGGTAGGGATGCACATCATTTCCCTTCGTACAGACAGCGTAAATAAAGCACTGTGTCAATCTGCTACTTCTCTGTTTGTTGTTGTTGGATGTGGTTCTGTAATCTCAGAAAATTAAATACTGTTTTTTGCTAGAAAAGGAAAAGATTTTTAACAAGCCCAACTTGGTATTAACCAATCCAGAATAAGATGTGATAGGAAAATATGTAAATTCGTAGCTTAAAAACCACCTGGGATTATTTTTTACTTCAGTAAAATGGCAATAGTGCAGTTACACAAACCTTGATGAAGGGCTACTTCCAGAGGGGAGACACTAGGCTCTCAGCAGTGGGATTAAGACATCTGCTGTGAAGCCAGGAACAGAGTAGGTCTCAGACCCAGGATTTGTTCAGGCCCTAATCATCTTCACAACAAATGGCTTAGAATCCTTAAGGAGTGTAGCTCATCATTGTTGTCTTCCTGATAACCTGTGGCTCTGCATACTTCCTTCGCAAGCATATATTTTGAATACTTCATGGCAGTTAATGAACTTAGGGATAATAGGTAATAGGTAGGGTGGCTGGACTGTAGTCTGATTTATGTTGACTCGTTCCGGATGGGGCCTTTTTCTGATTTTACCTCATAAAGCTACTGTTGTAGAACTTGGTTCTGCTCCTGTGACTCAACCAGAGAGCAGAATGGCTTTTGGGACCAGAGTCAGGCATCTGTGTGTCATACAGCCAAATTTGGGGGCATTCTTATGTGTGCTCTTCTTTCAAAACCACTGGGGTTGAAGATCCAGGAGGCTGAAATAAAAGTGACCTCTATAATTCTTTAAGGTGCTATTTTTAGAATATTGTATAATTTATTCACAGTATACCTAAAACAGAATTAAGGACAGTTAAAATATCCTATGTGACAGCCTCTGTCTGGCACATTTGATGGAGGGAAAACTTCTCTGTAGAAGTCCTGCTGTCTCAGGCTGAGCACTCGCTTGGCAGGCTCCACAGATGCGGGTGGTCCCTGTGTGGGTCGGGCCACCACCGCAAGCCTAGTGTGTGTCGCCCTGCAGGGCGAGGTGGCCCTGCAGCAGCACCTGTTGACCCGATGCCGGTGGGGAGCGGGCTCGGCCCAGCTGCAGCCATGCCCGTGGAGTTTCATTGTCCTCCTCAGATACCACAGAATTTTCAGTGTCCATTTTTATTCCTTTAGAGCATTTGAGGGCTTGACTGTGTATAGTAGAAATGCTATTTTAGACTAAAATATTGATCCATGTACAGATATTTGATATACTCTATAAGTAAATTTTCTAATTTCACTAAGTACATTTGTAGGCTCAAGTATTGCTGTGGGGGAAAAAAAATCTGACACCACCGAGCCAAAGATGCTTTTTTGTCTGTTTTCCTTTTGTTGTTCACAGAATGGAAAGAACAGTGCTTCCTGGTGTCTCCTGAATGTGCACACAGTAGTAGGATGACAAGTAGTGGATGTTGATGAAAGGCAAATAAAGATGAAGGATGGTGGGTAGATCATAAGGAGGGGAAGAAAACTGAATGAAGGAAAAAAGTTTGGTCCTTAATAGACTTTGGCCTATTTAAAATATGTGCCTTTTTGGTGTGTTTTGTTCATCACTACTACAAGATAAGGAGGAAACATTACAATTCAAGTCCTGAAAAAGTTCATTTATTAAAATTCCTGTGTATAATCAAGCATAAAAACGAGCATATCTAAAAACTGACTTCAAGCCATTTCTGAGAACATCCGCCAGGAGCAGCCCTCATCTAGGGTCAGACTCGGCTCCTTTCCGCAGCGCGGGCCAGAGACCCGCCCCACGCAGTCCGAGGTGGTGTCGCCCTGGGAAGGTTGTGGTGTGTTGGGGCATATTGAGTACAAATCGGATGAATGTAAATATCTCTTTGTAAATCATTTATTTCACTCTGTTTCATCCAGGTCAGCAATCAGATTGTGGCATGCTGGGTAACTGGAAAAAATGATAATAAAAAGTAAGTTTAAATAGATCATGTTCTTCAATGTGATTTTTCTTCTCATTTGCTGGTTTTAGTAACCTTTTAGTACTAAGTTTCTGATGATATAT